GCATTGCTGAGCAGCATCAAATGCTTTGTTTGTTTCCGCCGTGCGAAGCGGCTATCTTGCAGACTGCTGCGCACCTTGAACAAACTTAGACCTGCAAACAAAGCCGGGTTCCCATCCCAACTGGGCAAATAACGGTATTTCACCAACCAGAAATTGGGGGGAAACAAACTATGAAAGGACCCGCCTAGTGATGTCGCCACAGTTTGACAAATGTGGGAAATACCAGACAGGCGGTGGTAAGCGGTTTGACTCATGATCAAGCTTCAACTTTTCCGGCCTTCGACATGATTCACTCACACCGGCCAACGAGCTTACACCAACAGCAACTCGAAAGGCCAAACAACATCACAAGGTCATGGCAGGCAACTGGATTGCCCTCTCGGGCACCTTGAGGGCATCTTTTTCCTAGGGCAAGCTGGCAAATGTAATTCATGTAGCACAATTACCCCACTCAACTATATACTGGACGCAAGCCAATCGCTATTAACTTCCCTGTGAGTGACCATTGTGGAAACATGTCCCGCGCAATCCCTCGCATGTAGAACTGAGGTGTAACAACTCGACACCCACTTTCTGAATTTGCAATAATTGTTCTTAGTATCACAGAAATACTCCAAAATGGACTCCGCACCCCCAAGCCCTCAAAAAAGCAAGGTCTCCTTTTTGGATTCTCCAAAACAAGGAACCCCCAGAAGAGTCGCTTTACAAACCATGCCCTGCCCTCCTGAAATGCCGTCGTGTTCCTCGTGGTTTCCCTTCAAGCCCACCCGAAAAAAAAGTACTCCCTCCATAAGGCCGCGATTCCCAGCAAGGTACTCCCCCTTCAAATCGGAATCAGGGAAGAGAGGCCCCCGTTTGTTGTTTACCGGACCATCCTCGAAAAAACACAAAAAAAAGATGGAGTCAGGGAACTGGCCGCCTTTTTTTTACCGGACCATCCAAAAAACCGATTTAAAAGCGAAACGGGTTGGGTAACCCATGGCAACACCCAGCTCGCGCATCCGGCGCCTGCCGGCACTTGGCACGCCGTGTGCCGCGCCACCGGGTTGCTGCGAGCGGGTTTGGCGGGAAGCGGGTTTGGCGAGTTGGGCGGGTTTGGCTTTCCGGTTGGCCCGGTGGATAGGTTGGGTTCATATTGCGTTCATAGAACCATGGTTTACCCAAGGATTGTCATCATCCAATCTGGGTCAACCTTTCTTTTAATGGGGGTTGAACCCTGCAGGCCAGTTTGGGGTTGTGGTCTTTTTTCGAGGGGGCCGGTTTGGTCGGTGGAGCAACAAAGGGCTGCGCAGTGCAAAACCTGGGGTTTGGTAAAACCATGGGAAGTTTCGGGGAGTTCGGGTTGGCGAAAAACCATGGGATTTGGAAGTTTGGAAGGTCTGGTGTTTGGTATGGTTGTAATACCACTTGGGTGTGGCGCCTAAGCTCTAATGGCATCGGTTTGGCGCTGCCTAAGAAGCTTACGGCAAGCATTCCCTCCAAACCCCCCCACCAACCCAAGGGGGTTTGCAGTCACCTCCAATTCGCACCAAGACTTTCGCTTATTCCAATTCCAAAGACAACTCATACCAAACATGGCTCGAAAAATGTTTTTTATCCAACAATCTTGGAAGTCAAGACTACCGTCCTCTTTTAAAGGTTCCAAATGTCCACTTCCACGAGTAAAACGAGGGTAAATGGGTCCGAAATTCCATGAACCCATGGTCCCTCCTACCAGGGACACCAAACTCTGAGCATTGCACTTCACCTATATGTCATAAGCTGAGGGTTTCCAAGTCAGCTGTTTCAAAAAGCATACGAATTCACTCTGGGCCCTGGTTTCTGGCGTCTCAACTTCTCGACTGGGACCGCTGCTTGAATAGATGGTAATTAGCTGACACGGTCAGCAAATCGACAGCTGGCATGTTCAAAGAATCCAGTGGCACAAAAACATGCAAACACACACAGAAACATGAACACAAACACGCACAAAGACACAAATACACACAAGTACAAACAAAGCCTGGGACAATCACAGCTGTCCACACACGTGCCTGGAATAAAGGACGGGGAAGATGTTGTCGATGTCAGCCACGCCGACCCGTAGCACACATGCCTTGGCACTGCTTGCACGAATGAATGGCTGTCTGTGGTGCCACATGCGAGCGGAACCTGCAGCAACATGGTTGCCAAAACTGATGCCAGGAAGTTCTACCAGCACGATAGAACTCAGCTAAGAAAAGAAAAAGGAGCAACACATATTGCTGCGTGGCATGCTCGCATATCATGACACACAGCAGCAAAATCATCAAAGCACAGCAAAGCAAGCATTTTCACAAGCCTGGTTCAGAACCGAACAGGATGCAGGTTGCTCAGGGGAATTCACACGCATAAACTGTCAAACCGATCCACAGGTCAGGTCTGAAAGTAGGTGGCACAATTCCGTTTGTGTGGGTGACTAACGGGGCTCCCTATATTTCCCCTTAACACATCAAGAGGAGTGGGAAGGAGAATCCTCTGTCTCATACCTTCCCGGACAGTATCGTTTTAACCAAGGGACCTGCCAAGCACGCAGAAGGCCAGGGTTGAGGCACGGGTGAGTGGCATCAGTGAGGGCCGAAGCAGTGTTGCAAGGCAATCGGGAGGTCATGCATCCTCGTCATGGCACGAAGGGCCTGGGCCCATCCACGGAAACCCCCCGAGAAGAGATGAGCCACACAAACAGGTCCAACCAAGGGATCACCCGCAGGCAAAGAGACATTGAGGGCGCGAAAGAGACTGCCAGGAACAAGCAAAGCCTGGAACTCCTCAGGGGCACGCAGCAGAAAGACCTGCAAGCGAGCAGCCGAGAGCGGAGTGGGGTTCAAATCGCACGGGAGCGACTGAATGACCTAACCACGCCATCCTGCACGAAGCTCCTGGAGGACCTCAAACTCGAGGTGCACGCCGCCGCAGAAACCCCCGGGAAGAACGCGACCTCCTCCAAGACCGACATGTTGCCCCTTGGGCGGCATCCGAAAGCAGTGGCCCGCAACGACAAGACCGACAGGCCAGAGCACAGAGCAGAGACCAAGGAGCCAGGGCCGAGACAGAGAAAGCGCACTCCCTAGGGGAGGGGGGTAGTGGACGATGGACCAGGTAGCCCACCCAAGGGCGCACCCAACCCGGAGGCACAATCGCTGAGAGCCAGAGCGCCTACTGATGCTTGAAACCGGCAAAAAGGGGAACAACTGGGACCCCTGACTAAAGGGGAACACAACATTGGGCAACTTGCTGTTTCTCAGCAAGGAATGAGAAACGGAATGACCCTTACAAACCATCCTTTGCAAGTCTGGCTTCCTTTATTCGGAAATCCCTAAACGGTTCATTCCATTTCTCATTCCCTAGCTATCGCACCAGCAAGGCAAGTCTTGCATTTTTAGATTTTACCTTATTGCTGACATATTTTGGGTTATCCAAATTGAACCCACAAGAACCCACATGGACCTTCATTCGCTACATAAATTTGTGCCCCTTGGGTGTTTCGTAGCATAAATTTGCTAATCGGGCGTTTTTCGGGGGAACGGGCACAAATTTGGATTCGAGCATTTTTGGCTATTGCGGCGGCTTCTCTCTTCTCATGTAGTCTGTTGCATGAACACATGTGGAAACATACCCGCAAAACGGGCGCAAATACCCGCAAAACGAGCGCAAATACCCGCAAAACACGCGCAAATCCAAAATATGTAACAATTAGTATTTAGCAAGAAACCCGTGTTCAGGAAACGAGCGTTGTTTTGGGAACGAGCACTTTTTGGATCATTGGGCAAAAATAGTTGCCCCGGCATTTTTCTTTCGTGACACAAAATTATATAACAATGGAAGGTCCAGGCACAAGCGCACAAACTTTTTCAGGGGTCCTTCTAGCAAGGCAATTCTGCTTCTACTCTCACCCAACTGTCGCTTCCTCAGCCTAGGCTTCCACGCCCACAGCGCGAACCGCCGCATCTCGCGCCCGTAGTCGGCCCCAAAGGCGGGTGCTACTCACCCCTTTGCTGCAGGCGTTGCGATAGGCAGTCATAGGCTTTGGCTTATAATTACCCTCCCATTAACACGGAACCTGACGTACGGGAAATGGTCCCTTTATATAAAAGGAAAAGGGTCCATAGCAGGACCGCCGAACGTCAGGTTCCATGTTAGTTGGTGGGAGGGTACTACATATTGAAGGATAGAACGACCAAGTGACTTTCAAAGGGAATACGCTGGGGAGTGGCCTGCATGCAAAAACAGAATGGCGAGAAGCAAACTTGGTTGGTGCGGTCCCATCTTGCTCCTTGGATATTTGGTATGAGACTGTGCATACATTTCCCTTAACACTGTTACGCACAGTGCATGTTGTACCCAATTGAAGCTGTTGTCCTCAAACAAGGCACGACAAGACAACATCTTGGATTCCATCAAATTGGGAGGGCTAGTTTTGCTGCCTCCGGTTTACGTGTTGTCACTAACACACATGGCAGGCATCTGAGCAATTGATAATATCCAACTATCAGGTGTGCAATCACCTTGGCAAACTGTAAAGCGCCGCAACCCGTTTTAAGCAACCACTACAATCATTATAATTGCACGACACACACTCAACTAAGACTTCGGCACTGGGCTTCCTAAGGCCATCCGATGGCTAGCAAGTGTCTCCTTGGACAAGCGCACAAGCCATATCGACGGTTCAAAAGGTCCGTCCACCTGTCACAAGGCGGTATTCACTTGCTGAGTTGCTGGCAAACAGCAGTCAAATCCACACGAGGTACTTGAAATGGCAAGTTGGCTTTGACGTGTGTAGCATAGAGGGGCTGCTTTTCCTGTGAGTCTGTAGCCTGCTTCTTATAGGTACTCCAACGTGCTTATGCCACAACTTGCTGGTGCTCAGCAGGGAATAGGGGAATGACCCCTATGAACCCTCCAACTGGTGGTTTCCTTTAAGGGGACCAAAGAACGGGATCATTCCATTGCTCCTTTTCTAGCTATCGCAACAGCAATGCAAGTCACATTATGACCAGACCGTATCTACCAGTCACATGGCGTAGGCTCGCATTGGCTTTCGGCTTGGACCATAAGAGTTTTGCCACCAACAGCAGCTCCTTGCGCGGATTTTCAGGTGAAACTGAGTTGGGCTGCAAAATTGTCTGAGAAACTGCCTCAGTATTGCACATGAGACGTCTACACGATAAGAATATGAAGTGTCTGAACGACTTCAAACAACACCATAATAGATGCCGCACCCTTTCCATCGCGGCTTTTCTGGGTTTTTTCCCGGTCGATTTTTTGAGGGGGGTAGTGGACACCCAGCGAAGCGGACCGCTTCGAAGACGCCGACTTTTCGCTCTTCGCGTACGCCGCGGCGTGGCAGTTGGCCGTGGCCCCCGAGGGTCGGAAGAGGTAGGACGCCGTGGGGTGGATCTGGTCCGCAGGGAAGCCGCCCTCCACCTGAAATTTCGTCCACGACTTGGATGCCCCAACTAACGCCAGCCAAACCTCGAAACATAGGGCAACAAAACAAGCAAGACACATGATATTTATCCATATATATATATATATGTTAATATACATATGCCACCCGCTGCCACCCCCTCTGAAATCAAAATTGCATTTTCTGTGTCTGATTCTAAAAACTCGGGATCTTGAAGCTTGAAAACCGTGGACCTTAAAGCCGCTTTGAGGTCAAGGGGATCCGAGGTTCCAGACATCTTTGTCCATCCTGAACCAGGTCCTCCAGTAGAGAGGTTAGAATAAGTTGGTACCATTTTGTGGTAGTCGATTTTAGTAGAGGATCCCTCCCAAAAAAGAAACGGTAAAAGGGCACTACTGGGGGACCTAGTGAACCTTGAATCTGATTCACTTGTAGTAAGCGATTGGCAGCTCCAGCAGAAAGGGGTCATACGCAATTGGCAAACTACACGTTGGTAGCTTCAGCGTGCCTGCAACAGCTCTGGGATCGCTTTTGTATGATCACCGTGTTGCAGGGGGAACAAAACCTTCGGTTTGTGTATCTAAATTACTGATTGAATGAACACCTAATCAATTATGAGGGGTCCATTTGCATTTTACTTCAACTCTATATCAAATTAACACCCGGAAGGCAATTTCTATCAACTTTACGTGTCATTTGCCTACTTGAGTTAAACAGGCTCACAACATCTATCGACAATCAAACATGATAACAATACCAGACATTAAAACAAGGCCGCGTCAAGCTGAACCAAGCTTCACAATCACCGGGTTGACGGGTTCCGAACAAACCAATCGCCAGAGATATGTGAATTCACACCGAGAAGGGCTTCGGCTCTCGGCGTCCGCTCTCGTTTCTCATCTTGCCAGGTGGCCAAGACCTCCGGGAAGCTGAAGCCATGCTGCATGAGGTCCTTGAGGTGAAAGCCCGCGGCTTTCAACTCCTTGGGGCCCAGACCTGGAGCCGCTTCGGACGGCAGGGATTGATCGAAGAAAGAGGGTGAGGAACCGCTTTTCCAGCCCCAAGCCACTCTCCCTAAAGGAACATTGCAACAAAAGGACATGCGGACATGGTGTGCCTGTTGAGGGTACCGTTTTGGGGGCTGTTCAAGGGAAGCCAAAAGGAAAACCACCACTTTAGGGGATCCCTCATTTTGAGATATACCCATACGCTCGCCATATGGTGACATGGTTGTAAAGCCCCATTTTCCCTTGACTCAAAGAATTCGCCTTGGGCCAGGACTTGATGCTTCCATTTGGTCACTACGAATTGTGCCGGAGGTAGGCCTATATACTCCCCAGATTGACATAGAACCCAAGAACAACACCAACTCTCGAGGGAATCTCGTTTCGGGGACGGAGCGAGCCCGCTGCGTGTGGGATTTTTTGCGGGTCCTGTTTTTGAGGCGAAGAAATCCAAAGAGAGTAAAGGGAATCCATGGATCTCAAAAGTTAAAGATCACCAAACATTAACCCGATGTTTCACGGGGAAGTATGACTTGTCCCCATTGATTTCCGGTGGGCCTAAACAATTAGATTGTGGTGGGGGGCCTTAAAGCCAAAGTTCTGACGGGAAATTCATGTGAATTGTTCATCCCCCAAGCGGGGTGAAAGTAGATGGCACAATCCCCCCATTTGGCTTTTGTGCTCTCAGGTGCATTGGAGTTGGTGCCTTTTTCAGGCGGAAGGGTTTCCAGGAAACCAACAGGACTTTCCTTTGGCCTACTTTGGTACCCTTACCAGGCTGCGCCAAAACCACAACATATGGCTTGCAGCATCAAGCAACCAAAATCCGTAGGATTCTCCGCGGGCCACGCCCTCACTTTTTGTTCTCGAAACCCCAGTCCAGGGGGGAAATCTAGGACATCGATGTTGGGCATCTTTTTGCCCACACAGATTTTCCGGTCTTGGCCCGTGGGCTGTTGATTGAGACCCACGTGGGTCTCAGCCGTCGCCGTTGCCTGCATCTCTGAGCTCCTGCAGGGTGAAGAGCTCCCCCAGCTGCTGCGGGCCGAGACTTTGGAGCTCCTGGAAGAGGGGCGCCGCTGGAAATCGGCACAAATCTCTGCTCTTGGTATGGTGCTTTGGCTTTTTTCTTTCTTGGGCTCTGTTCATTTTTACTGGGGGGGGGGGGGCAATGAACAAAATGGCTCCCTCAAGAACCTTTACATTTACATAAAAAGCCTGCCAAAAGGTCGATCCATAACCATCCCTGCCGACCCAAAGTGAAGTTCGGGATCATTCTGTGAATGGACGAAATCCTGCACCACCTGAGAAACCTGGTTGAAACCCAAAACGTTTGTTGGTCTTTACATTGGAATCATCAGAAACCAGGGTTTCTGAACGGTGGTGGCCTAAGAAACTTCGCAACCATCCACAGTTTGCTCCACAGACCCGCACATTTGTTGAAGCAGCGAAGCGGACGTTTTCCGTCCTGTGGAGGGAAGCCGGCATCCTTCCTGCAGCATGCGTTCGGTTTCAGCGGATGCGGAGGGGCGGAATCCTCATCTTGCTAGGGAAGGTACAATAGAATAGCTAATGCTGGCCTGTGTGATCATAAGTGTAGGTCTCAAAGTACTCCGTTCTAATTCTTGCGTTGAGTGCTGGCCTCGGTTTAGGCCTTGCTTCAGGTGAATTGGGGGCGGAATGGATCGCAAGATTGTGGGCACAAAAGGAGCGCCCGACGGTCCCGTTTCCCCGTTTGCATGTGCAATGGACAAAATGCGTTGATTGAAGTCAGCTGCAGATTGACTCATGTAGGAATTTAAGAGGTGTTTGCATACTTGGGTCACACCGAATGTCAACACGTTCGGTTCAGTTGCCAGCATGTCGGCCCACTGTACAATTGCTTCGAACTGTTAACGTTCTGCCTCAGCTGGCTCTTCACCAGGCAAGGGAAACATTTTGCCTTTTGGCAAACAGTCAAAGGACAAGCTCTACAAACACAACCCGTGTCATTGCCTTGAATTTGGGAAGTGTTCAAGGTTGTTCTACCAACACCGGCCAAATTGGCCCGTCCCCTCTTCACCAGAAGCGGTATGATTATGCTGCGGTCCTGTTGGCCCTCCTTAAATTCAGAGACCACATCTGTGCTTTGGACTCAAAGCACCGCCCATCTCTTCTTGTTTTAGGAGGAGACAAATCCTACGGATTGTAAATAAACAATGTTCTCCCATACACAGTCTGAACCTGACCCTCCCTCTCTGCATTTGCCCAGTACAGTGTCAAGGCCCACAATCCCCGTACAAAAGTCTAAATCCATCCCCTGCTTGTATCCTCTGTCCTTTCGCGTATTTTCGGCATGCAAATCGTTTACATGAGCCACATCTTAATGAGGCCATGCCATGCGTTAGGCATCATACCTGGAGTCTCCTTCTGACCCTTTAAAAATGGCTGGTCATAACCCAAAATCATGGTTGGTCATGGACCCATTTTGATTCGGGTCAGAAGGAGACTCCAGGTTCTCTTTTCATGGATGCAAAGTCCCAAACAACCACGCCCCTGTGCTCATTCCATGTTTCTGGGCCACCTAAGGGTTCACAACATGGACCAAATCCTGCCGGTCTCTTAGGTGCCCGATGTTTGGAGACAGGACAAGCATTCATAAAGGGCATCCTGGTTGATAAACCACCAATCACTCTTCCAGTTTATGTCAACAAGTGTCAATGGAGACCTTTGAAAGAAAACCAAGACAGGGTATCCACAGGAGGCCCCCAAAACATAATGGTTGTTGTTTAGATTTCCCATGACACCACGGTGACCAGAGACCAAACCAAGCCACCAAAGGGGAGTTCTCAAATTTGATCAGACCGGGAAAAAGGTCACCTCAATTTTGCTGGTGTCGTTCTTTGGGGTTTTGAAGGGAAACCAAAAGGAACACCACCACATATGTATATATGTATATGGGGGGGGGGGGTCGTTGTTTTAGTGGTTCTAGAGGAACCAAGAGAAAAACCCACCTGTTTTCTTTTGGGGAGGGGTCCCCCTAACAACAGACACCTCCACAAATGTATATATATACACACACCTATATCTGTCTATATATATATATGTATATATATATATATATATGTGTAGACGTGTGTATGTATATATGTACCAGTCCCTGGGCCACGTACCCCGCCCCCCCCCCCCCCCCAGTGGTATGGTCCCCCCACTCCCCCGCATCATCCGCATCTTGGGGATGATGCTGGCAATGCTGGGGATGCTGTCCAGTGCCGTGCGAGCCCTGCAGCTTCGGTCCCGGACCCCCTTTCACCCCGTGAACCAACACCCCCGCACCTCTCGCAACATCCTACCCTAAGCCAAACCACCCTGCAACCCCTCCTTAATCCCAACCCTAAGCCTAAATCAACCCAAAACCGAAACCCACCCGAAACCCACCGCAAACCAACCCTGAACCAACCCTGAACCAACCCTGAACCAACCCTGAACCAACCCTGAACCAACCCTGAACCAACCCTGAACCAACCCTGAACCAACCCTGAACCAACCCTGAACCAACCCTGAACCAACCCTGAACCAACCCTGAACCAACCCTGAACCAACCCTGAACCAACCCTGAACCAACCCTGAACCAACCCTGAACCAACCCTGAACCAACCCTGAACCAACCCTGAACCAACCCTGAACCAACCCTGAACCAACCCTGAACCAACCCTGAACCCACCCTGAACCCACCCTGAACCCACCCTGAACCCACCCCACCCCACCACCCCACCACCCGACCACCCCACCACCCCACCACCCCACCACCCCACCACCCCGCCACCCCACCCCACCACCCCACCACCCACCCACCCCACCCCCACAGAGTTAGTGGTGACCTCTCCCGTCCGCATTTTGCCATCCGGTCATAGGGTCCCCCCCACACTTTTGGGCACAATTCAAATACACCCACTAAAACAACCTATTTTGAACATTCAAATTCAATCACCCAACCAATCCAACACCAAAAAACACATATTCACATACCCATCTTCATTTCTTACCCCATCTCAACATCACCCTTACACTCATTCAATAACAACAATCATAACTACATACCACCTCAACAAATCCCACCAAAAAAATCCAAGCTACATACCAACATTTTTCCATTCCCAAGATCGCAACCCCAAGATCTCAATAATTTCTCCCTTGATCCAACCTGAGACCCTTTCCCATTTCCAACAAATACGAACAGTCTAGAAAAGAACCCTATGTTCGCCCCGAAAAATGGTTAACCAATGGAAAAGGGAGAATTAAAACCGTTAACCCGAATATTGAAAACACAGCATGGCAAAGCAACACCCGCTGGACTACACTTCATCCAGAACATCAACTTCACAAGGTGCGCCTGCCATGCTTATTTGTCAAAGTCAAGCCTTGAAGCTGTCATCCAGAGAAGCAGATTGAATGGCATCTTTGACACATCAGAGTTTTTCTTGCTCAAGAAAACCACTTCGTCCCTTTGGTGATTCGTTGAAGCCATGCTTGTAGATATTGACATCTACTCTATCTCCCGTGCTCGCTTTGAAGTTCCAGAGGGGACAACAGTTCTGGAGCTCAAGGAGTTGCTTGAGACGGCAACTTCAATTCCGGTCAATGACATCACCGTCGCGCATCAAGAGCCTCAGTCATCCGTGGATTATGTGAAGGATGAGCAGACTGTGGAAACCTTTTACCACTCTGGAATGGTGAAGCTGATCCTGACAAACCCCAGTGTTGACGGACTTCGCACCGCTCATGAACTCCGTCAAGAACAGGACAAGGCAAATGAGAATGTGAAGGGATACATCCACAAGAAGCATGGTGTCTTGTTTGGTGATGGTTGTGTCTCTTTGCTGAGCCACTGCGCCATTGACATCAAATATGACTATCAGAAGACCGAGGACTATGAGCGCACCATGGCCGGCAACTTCACCAAGGACAACCCACCTCCGGAATACACTCAGGAGGATGAGGAGCGAGTTCAGGAGATCTGGAGAGGTGCATTCCATGGCTGTGAGTTGGACTACTTGGCGGACAAGAAGGACAACTGGCTTGACTGGCTGGCACAGCATGGAGAGGTTGCTTCCGGCAGTGGGGGCTATGTTGCAACCATTGTCCCCTCAGACGTTCCATCGGCACGGGCAACATCAAGTGAAGACAGCAAGCGGTCGCAGTTGATGCTTCAGATTGAGAACATGAGCATTGTTGAGCTCAATGAACTCATTGCCTCCCGTGAGAATGAGTTGAAGATAATCAAGAAGCGCCTTGCCTTCACAAAGAAGGAGAAGAAGGGTGAGGACATCACCATCAATCTCCTCCAGCCTTCGGGGCGCACCATTCCCCACACGGTGAAACCCAAGAACACCATTCTTCAGGTGAAGCGCTCAATTGTGGAGGAGTTGAACATGGACAAGCCCGAGTGCATCCGCCTTGTCTATGGCACTGAGGAGATGAAGAACACCAAGACCATTGCAGGCTATGGTGTCGACGACGGCGACGTCCTCACCATTGTCATGGCCCTTGCAGGCGGTGCTAAGAAAGGGGGGGTTCAGCAGAACTTTCTCAAGACAGCCAAGAGGATGCAGGCAAATGACCTCATCCAGCGCACCCAGAACACCACAGACCAAGCCATCACTCACTGCAACCATGTTGCCAATCAACTCATGGCACTTGCTGACACAGATGTCCGCAGTGCCTTGCGTGCCCTTCTTGCTGAGAACACAGATGAGAAGTTGGATGGTTGTATTGCTGTTTTGAAGACGACCCATAACAAGGATACACGCCTTGAGGGATGTGCTGACCTCCTGTTTGACCGCATCACTCAGCCCATCAAAGACCGCATGAAGGACTTCAACGGAGCCATTGAGACCACTCACTGTGTGTTTCAGTGCCTTGTCCTACATTTTGACACAAAAACCCCAGCCTTGGGAACTCAACCATTAAAAACCCCAGCCTTGGGAACTCAACCATTAAAAACCCCAGCCTTGGGAACTTTGTCAGGGAACTTTGTCAAAAACTTCCCAAACCTTGGGAACTTTACCAGGAAGTTGTTTCCATCAGCAACTGAGGATGATGATGAGCGACGCTTTCTGCCCCAACGGCAAGTGGGACTGGAAGAGCTTTGAGGGCATGGTTGATGATGTGAAGCGCCAGCGGTCTCAGCCAGCTCAGCCTGTCAATATGAACATGGGCTGAGGAATTGCCTTTTCGTGCCTTGTGGCATCCCCTGAGTAAAGCGTGGAGTAAGACCTGGGCATCTCACATACCTTGCAGTGCGTCGAGAAAAGCCTGCATCTATATCATTAAACAGTTGTGAAGTCAGACACATTGCCATTCTTTCAGAACGAATCCACATGTGTTTTTGTTTGATTGGGGTAGGAAACAAAAATAGCTGTTCTGCTTTGCACTCTGCACGACAGGTTGATGACGGCGACTTCACGCATCGGAGCCTCATGGGCGGACTGGGTGGTTTTTTTTTGGGAGGGGGGGGGGGAGCCCAAATTATGTCAAAGTGATTACCCTGTCGCACTAAACAGTTCTAATAGATTCATCAGCTATTAGAACCGTTTAGATCAAACCTTCAGAATCTCTGACCTCAAGTAGGGGCGGTTCATCCCTTCAACAGAATAATAATCTTGACCAAGTTTTTTTTCAACCCTTGAAACCTTGTATTTGACACTGCTCCAGTTGCTCGTTCTTTCTTTCTCGGAAATCCCTTTTTTGCGGTATATTTTGACCTCATCGCCAACCCTAACAGGAGGATATTTACGGGTTTTGATTCTGTTCATCTCAAGCTTCATCTTGACCTCAAGATGGTTTCCCTTTTTGTGGGCATCGTTTGGAGTCATATCGTGGGCAGAATGAACCATTTTACTGTTGTATGTCAGCATGATCTCAAGAATGTAATCAACCCATTGTATATTAACCTTTCCCTTTTTCTCGTCTGCATCAACCCTCTTGAAAAGCATGTCCTTGAACGTGCGAATGAAACGCTCGGCGAAATGGGGGTGCCCTCGTGTTTTATAGTTTTGGATCCCTTCGTCCTTGAAAAAATCGACAAGATCTTGGGTATTGAGACTCCCCTCGTCATCCGAATAAATTAATTTGGGTTTCCCTCCCATTTTGTTTAATGCCTCCATGATCCCAGCCGTGATGTCGGCAGGTTGCTTGGATGCAATGGGCACCACCACGGCTTTGCGGGAAAATACATCAATAAGCAATAAGCCTATCCTATATTTTTGATTGTCTAAATCATTTTTTGATATAAAAAACAGATCCAATTGATATTCAAAGTTGATATCAGGGGCAATAAACGAATTGTATCCAGACAGTTGTTTTTTCCGTTCCACGTTCTCTTGAAACCACTCCTTGACATCTTGCATTGTTATGGATGCATCTTTCTTTTTTGCATCTTTGTAAGTGGTGGCGATGCTACCAAACCCAGCCTGATCGTAGTAGATCTCACTGATTATCTTGTCTTTTTCACTCATATATATAATACTATAAAATAAATATCAATATGTTATTTTATCACTGAAGCATCTATTACAAGAAGCACAGAAGGCAATGACATTATCCTTTGTATGGGGAAGATCATTACATAACCTTTGACAAGTCAGATTAGAATTTATATTACCAGAATCCATTGACAACACGAAACCACAGCCACAGTTGGCACACTTGCCATTGACGTTGTCCTTCAACCATTCGGCATCTACATAATTTTCTTTTGGAATACCAAAGCCATTTTTACGATCCTGTTCCTTGTATGCTAACACCTTTCTATCAAAATAATTCATAATGCATTTTGCGTTAAACTCTTCATTTAAATCACTACTGTATTTGTAAAATTTTACTCTGTTTAAATCCCTTGCCCGAGTGATTCCCGTCCAAAGCCACTCGCGAGTTATCAGATGATGGTTCCAATCAAATATCACGACATCGTCATCAATGGAACACCCCTGAACAGAATGACAAGTATAACAGAAGGCAAAGATAAAATGACTTCTCAAGATACCAATATGTAATGTAATCTCTTCTCGTGTTTTGATATTAGCAATGGTAATCCAAGGATCGGAAATATTAATTATCTCATACCTAAAATTCACATTTAACTTATAGGTTTTTGTCTTCCTATACTCTCTGCATATCATGATCTCGCCGACTTCAAACTCATTTTGTTTGCCCTGTCGTTTCCTGATCTGCCTTGAAACCTCTCTACAAGTGTTATTTAAATATGCGACATTGCTTTCTGTTCCTGCGATGTCATCAGTATATTTAAAATACTTATTGATGACATCATGTAGAGACAACTCATGCTCAAAGATGTCGGCATAAATACTTTTAAGTTTATCCTTGTCCTCCTGAGTCTTCAATCGCTTGCACTCTTCCAAAAACAAATGATGGGGAAAAATGCTATCAATACATTCATTCATATAAATCTCGTGTTTCTTAGTGTTAGTCAGTGCTTTTATGGGGCTCAATTGCTTGGCGTCGCCAGTAGCTAATATGATTTTGTTAGCCATATGTTGCTCTACAAAGCCCTTGATTTTTGCCAATACAAAGGTATTATTAAAACAAATCTCATCAAACACAATGACATCAAACATCGAATGATCGTATTTATCTAGCTTCTCGTCATTGACTGCTATACTGAAGAATTTATTTACAGTGATGCTTTCCACTTCGCACTCCAAACCCAGATTATTGGTAGGAACCACGAACAACACTTTATAACCCTTGAGTCTCTCCATGTTTTTGCAGATGGTGGACTTCCCCGCTCCTGCGAATCTGGCTTTGATCATGATGCACCTATGTTTCTCAACAAGTTCAACCAATTCATTTTCATCATACTCATTAATGATGTTAACTCTCTTACTTTTGACAATCGGGATATCAACATATTCACACTTCTTCTGTTCATACAACTGCTTTCCTGTATGATGGATCTCATCGTGAGTCTTGGCTAATTTCCACCCACCGATCCCATCGTGAAAATCTAGCAACTGCTGAGTCTTTCTCAAACCAAACTTATTAAAACCCGAACAGTCCACGACAAAAGCGTCGCATTTGACACTCAATACCTTAACATTGTTCTCTGTCAATTTTTGATATGCGCATTGCATTTTAAAATTATGATACTGCAATAGCATTTCTTTAATAAAACGAAACCCATTGGACAACTCGCACCTATCAACCACATTCAGAATATAATATAAATTGTCGTTTTGTTCAGATACTTCTCTATCACGGCACCACATGCCATTATCATCGTATTCCTCAACCCACTTGGCAGTATTCCTGCTCATCATGTTTAACTTCCCCCCTGCATCTGCCTGAAGGCTGATCGCCTCATTGAGATCATTAAAAACGAATGATCTCTGACTGCTGTTCTTACTTTTTTCCAACAAGCCAAAAATCGAGTTGGCTATTATTTTTTTAATTGCCTTGTCTTCTTCAATATTTTCGCTTATTCGCTTTCCCCAGAGTTCCTCAACCAACATTTTATTATCTACCTTGTGAATGAAATGTGGCTGTTTGTAGTGAGTAATGGACAACTCGCCAGATGCAACAAGTGGCATAAAATGCTTAAGAAACATACCATAAACTATATTAGTATCATTATTAAAAAACAGATTGCGATGTGTCAGTTCTGCTTTTACCAAATATATATTTACATCCTTGATCTTACATTTACTATTATAAGCTTTCCAATTATCAAACTGATTAAAAACTCCAATTCTGGTAATCGTATTAAATGCATCTGTAAACGCTTTGTTCATGTCGATCTCCTGTTTTGGAACATCCAACTTATCCAAGCCCTTGAATAACTCGCCTTGTGGGACGATGGTTCTATAATTATTTAAAACTTGTATATCGGTAGGACTATAATAAGACTTGTGATTTGGATTGAATAATTTCTTTTTGAATGTAAACATCGCTTCAGTCATATTGTTGTAAACCGTTTCTCTGTCTACCGTGATGTCACTATTGATCCGGTCGTCTATCAGACACTGTGACCTAATGTTTAGATATACATTATTGAAGCCCGCCCTCAATTCTGAAATAGTCCCTGCTTTGTGAATAATCCTGCACTCGTACCCGATATTTTTGAAATCGCAAAATAATTTATTTAGATCATTCTCTCTATGAACCAAATCTAAAAAGTTCTTTTCCTGTTTGTCGGTTCTGTTCGCAATTGTTGCCTTAACCATTTCAAAAATGTCATCAATAGTAGAAAACATTTTGCAAACCGATGGCTTCTCTCTATCGCTTATATGATAGTCGGGTCGTGCCTTTACTACAAATGCATCATCAGTATTTTGTTTTTGTTCCAACCTTTTAATATTATTACAGTGTGTAGATATGATTATTTTTGATCATTGCATAAAAGGCTCTGATGTTGCGGTCAAACATCTCTGGTGAATAAGAGTAAATGATTTTGCCCAGTTGGTCTATTATTCTCACACGCATTCTGTATTTCATAAATACCGGGATCATGTCATCAATTGATGCCCCCGACTCTGTGAATTCCTGTTCTGTTTTATTTATTAGTTTTAGTATCGTCCCTCGCGACATTGGTTCTTTCTTCTTGTTGTTCATTAGGGTATCTTTATAATAATCAGTGAGTGTGTTCAACCAACATTGATTGTCTACATAATTACCTTTCTGGATTGCTTCCATAAATGTTTCTTTCGATGTATCCAACTCGGTATACATGTAAGTATTACACATACTGATGTTTTCCGACCTTCTCAGGTTGGCTTGTCGTGGATTACTAGGCTGTCCACCTTCCACCTTTCTGGCCCTCAAGATCTTCAAGGCGCCAATATACCCCGTCTCTACGTTGTAAGCCACAGCGTTAGTCTTCTTGGTTAACCTCTTCTTCTTGTTGATCTCGATTGTTTTTTTCTGATCAACGCCAACATACCCACCCATAATATTTAGCATTGTTTCAAATTCTGGATCTTGGGCAAGTGTTACAATGAACTTTCTGAATAGATCATAATCCTTGGTTTTTACAATTCGTTTGCCTACATACTCGTCTATATTTGTGCTGGCGTTAACGGTGTATGTTCTCTCCTTACCGTCCTTTGTTATGGGGTAATATTTGAGTTCTCCGTATTCTGTTTTGTATGTGAAAGCCGGCTTTTTGTTGTCACCTTCCCTAACACCTTCGCGGTAAAGCATGACGT